AATCATATATATATATTTAAAAAAAAAAACATATATATATATACATACTATATACACAGAGCCACACACACACACACTCAGCAGTATTTGTAAGCAGTGTAAAATTTATGGAAAAGCTTCAAGGCGAACAAAATTTTACTTACTACAAAGAAGAACAAGAACAGGAGGAGTTCAAAACAGATTTAACAATCTCACAACCAAATCAACTAAAACAGAAGTAGCAACACAACAACAACACAAACAAACAACAAAGTAGTTTTGCATATCCACTGGAAAAAAAAAAACCAAAACAAAATACAAAAAAAAAAAAAAAAAAATACAAATACAGATACAAAAAATTATGGAGAAATATATTAGTTTATAGAGCGCAAATATTTTCACAGCCACAACAAAAACATATTAAAACCAAAAAAACAAAAAAAATACTATCAAAATACTTTATAAAACTTAAGAAAAAAAAGAAGCAAAAAGGAAACAAACGCAAACAAAACTTTGAGCAAAATAACACGGAAAAAAAATAATGCAATTTTTTAACCTTCCCAAAACCAAAAGAAAACCCAAAAAAAAACGACAAATTAAATGAATTTTTTTAAATTAAAAATCTAACTAAAATTTAAAGTGAAATTCGTAAATGCATCAAAATTTTTTGTTGTTTTGAATTTCCATGTAATTTTAACATAATTTATGAACAGTCACACATACACACACACATACAATAATATTAAATTTAAAATTAATTTTACATTAAAAATACGATTGAAAATGTGTTAATAATGTTTTCTAAAAACATTTTGTAAGTTATTCATTTCCATTGCGCTTAAATTTAATTTAGCAAATTTTGCCACATCCCAAAAAAAATAAATAAATAAATAAATGAAAATAAAATAAAATACTTATAAAAGACAGCAGACATTCATAAATAAAAAGTAAATAATATTAATAAATAAATAGCTAAATAATAGTTTTAGTTAACTACGGTTGAAATTTTACGTTTCCTATGAGGCTCATCATAATTTTTGTTTATTTTTTTTTTTTTATGGCGCGCTGTTTTAAATAGACATTTTTTTCTTAACATACAGAAAAATATATAAATATATTGAATTATTTTATATTTCATTCCCATACACACACAAACACACACACGTTATTAATATAAATCTTTGAAGCAGCTCGAGAAGCAAAAACCACAAATTTTGTATTATTATTATTATTTTGCATTCGAATTGATTTTTTTTTTTTTGTCAGTTTGAGGCTTGAGTTGACGTTTGATTATAATTTTTACATATTTTTTATACTCATTCGCGAAGGTGAAAGGAACATATTGGATTGGAGTAGTGTCCGTCCGTTTATCTTTATGAATGCAAATCATTTCGCCGAAATAGACACTTGAATTTTTTTTATTTTTCCCGATCCGCCCACTAAGAGCATTACAAATCCGTTAGAAAGTTAAGATCCAACTTATTGTTGACACCGTCTATTGCAGTGCACAAATCAAGTATATATACTACATGTACATACATACATATATATATACCAATTGGAATCTGGTAGCACGTTGGGTCGTGAATGAGTATTCAGCAGTCGGTAACGCCCGACTGCTACGTTCTTACTTGCCTTTTCATTATTTTGATCGGCTAGTTAAGTAGTTATGTAGAGGCTGCTCGAGCTTCAGCTGCGGCAAATGGCAACTAAATATTGAGTTTTTGATATGCTTCTGGGCTGTTGAGAAGGTGGTTCGCTGACAAAACAAAAACACACACAAAAACAAGTTACAAAAATAAAAAATAAAATAAAAAAATAGCTGCAATACGTTATAATTACGTCAATATGTTCCTAACAATATAGACATACAAGCATATTTATAAACTATGATTAACTAACTATAAAGCAACAGCAGAAGCAACATTTTAAATATAATGAAACGCATTAAGAATAAGTGAGCAGATACACACACACACACATACATTCATACATTCATATATATATAAATTTAAAATTACAAATAATATATTAAAATATATTTAAGAGGCGCGTGACTAAATTCCATTTTTATTATTAATTTTAAAGTTGTGTTTGATTTTATTTACATAAATAAATAAATATAAATATTTACATTCATAAATATAAAAAAAAAAACTACATATACATATTTAAATATTATATGCCTAGGTATTATTGATATTATTTTGTAAGCGTTCAAACACAATTATTTAACAATTATTCAACCATATTTATTTAGCTAACAGCGCATTAAAAATTATTTTCCAATTCAGACTTTTCAAATAGAATTATAATTATATTTTAATATTAAATTGCAATTTAAGTTCCATTTCATTATTTGTAGTATTTCTTTTAGTATATATGCATATATGTGTATGTATACATATATACATATATTTATATATATATTTGAAAATAAATTTTTTCTCAAATAAATTGACATAAAGTAAACAAATCATTTACTTCAAGCATGTTTCACTCATTTTTTCACTCACTCATACACACACACTCACACACACACAGCCCGATCATCAACGCCTTCTCAACGATTTCGCCGAGCTTTCAAAATGGACGCCACGACGGATGTTGGGCGAATTCGCTGGGCGCATAGCGAATATTGTATCATTGAGCTTTTTGTCAGCGCATTTAACTCATTTGTTAATTTTGTATGACGATTACATCTGGTCGCTAGACCAGCTTAAAGAGCTTGAGCTTCACTTAACTAATATATAACAAAACAACAACAACAACAAGAAAAAATCTCATTTCATATGAGAGCAGAAAACAAACACAAAAAGGAAGGTTAAAAAATGCTCTATATATACATATACATATATATACCAACTCACACACATATATATATATATATATATATATATATAAATATATTTTTTTCGTAGTCGAAGCAAGTCGAATGTAAAACCCCCAGAAAAAATGAAAAGAGAAAAACCTAAAATCAACTAAAAGCACTGAGCAACACAAAACACTTATAGCCAACTCATTTTCGAGTTGTCCAATGCTGAATAATGGAATCAAGTCAAGTACTCGTAATGAATAATGAATAATGTTTAATGATTAATGATTAATGATTATGATAATGAGAGCAGCTTATATCAGGCACCGAAAACAAATAGACGCGAACAAGCAACAACAAATATTTTAGATAAGAAATTCAATAACTGATATACCTATACACTCACACAAACACACACAAACACACACTTACACACACTCAATGGTAAATTAAACATATTTTAGGCAAACCCCAAAAAAGGCAAACCAAATTTATATGAAATTATTATATGAAAAGCTAAAAAGTTTATAAACAAAATATTTAAGCAAAGCAAGGCATATCATAGTTTATAAAAAAAAATAAATAAAAGAAATAAAAAATATAAAAACAAGGAGAAAAACCAATACACACACAGATCAGAGAAACACACACACACACACACACGCACATACAAACACAACAGAAAGAGTCCGCAGCAAAAAATCTTCTTGCAATATCGAAATTCAATAATAACCCAGGCTATCCGGGAGTGCTACGTAGCATCCAAGTTAGTAGTAGAAGAGGAAATTGAAGCAGATGACGATGAGGACGATAAGGATGATGAACAGGCAGTCTAGACAGCACTAGGTAACAAGGTTAACCTATGAGGACCTAACAGAATACATGCATTATATGATATGATATGATATGATATGATAGAGGGCCAGCTATATAGCCTAGATATCGCAATTTCTAGTTGACGAAAGTGTTAACTGTTTATAATGCAAACAACAACAAAATAAAAACAAAAAACAAAAGCAACGTTTATGAGCGAGAAAGTAAAAATGGAGAACAACAATACAAAGCAAACTAACAAAAACAAGAAAGAGAAAAGAATGAAACACAAAACAAACAGAAACAACAAAACAAAAACAAAATGAAAATGAAAAGAAAAGAATAATAACAAAAGAAAAAGCAAAAAAAGAAAACAAGATGAAAAGAAGGGAAAGTAAATTCTATATAAATAAAACTACTGAAAATATCGAGTACGAGTTTTTTATTGGGCTTAGACAAACTGTAGCATATGTATAAACATACTATTAAATATAAGTACGTATTTGAGCTATTAATATTCTAAAAAAAATACAAACTTAAAGGTTTAATTACTTTAAGTATCTGAAATTACTCAAATCGAAATACTAATTACTCGAGGAATTATAAGTTACAGTAAGTAAATGATTAATTACTTCAAAGTAAGTACTTTTATTCGTATATAGAAATACGAGTCATTACAAACTGTCAAGTAATTAAAGACTATTTTGTGAGTAATTAATCGGTTATTAAACCTTTAAATTTCATTTGGCATCAACTCAAAATTCTCAAATACTTTAATTTAAATCGCAACACTGGCAATTTCAATAACTCATGTCTTTGCATATATTGCATATTTCTACTATTTCTTTCCACTTGGCGATTGGTGATGATCGTCGAATCTTTTGTTTGTATGACAGTGTATATTTACACTATGTATTGCATTTCTAATAATTATAACTAGGCCCTGAAACGCTGGCAACGCATACGTAAGTACTTCGCGACGACTGACTCAACAATTAGTAAGGGCAACTAAGGTAGTTTTAGTCACTATTTTCACATAATTATGCTTAGTTGTGCTGTTTGGCTTGCGTAGAGACGACTCTTGCTGGAGAGTGTAGGCTATGTACATAAAACCCGCACTGCATGCTCCCCCCACTCACCCCGCTCTCCCTATATCTAACTATGTATGCATATCTCGATTGTGACTCTGTCTTGAACCTAATGCACTTACACACTCCACATGCCACATGCCACATGCTGGCAACCTAGCAGCAATTGTCTGGCCCCCCGACCCCAACGAGCCCCCCAATCTACCGACAAGCAGCATTAATAGTTGACTATAGATATGCATATACTACATACATATGTACGTTTATAGTGCGCGTTGATCTGATCTATCCTCTTCCCCTGACAGCTGCTGCGCAACTTTGGCTCCCCGATGAGCGCGATGGCCGCCAGTCGCTGTCCCACGCCGTTTGCGTTTCCCTTTTCGCCGCTCGGGCTGAGCCTGTTCGACATTGATCCGTCCAGAATACTGAACCTGCTGCACCATCAGACCTGGCTGGCCGAGGAGGCGTTGCGGTAAGTACCCCCACTCACTTCCATTCCATCTCGAGCACATTCAATACGTTGCCTTTGACTGTTTTTGTGCAGCACTCGCGGCCTGCTCAGCGCGCCAAAGGACTTTCCCCACCGTTTTACCACATTAAGCGATCTGCTTACCAAGGACTATCAGCCAACTGCGGCCAGTTACGCGGCCAAGCAGACGCAGTCCACAACGAGCCGTTCCAGCGATCCACAGTACAAACAACAACAACAACAGCAGCAGCAGCAACAAGCCACACAACAACAACAACAACAACAACAACAACAACAGCAACAGCAACCGTCTCAGCAACAGCAACAGCAACAATCACAGCCAACGCCGCCGCCGCCTCATGTCGCCTTCAATATGCGCTATGCCACGCCCACTGGCTATTTTCAGCCCTCGAAGGGCGGTAAATCGACGGGCACGCCCTCGCCCAAGCAGATGGCCACCTCATCGACGGCCATCTCAGCGGAATCGCAGCTGGATGCCCAGTCGGAGGGCAACGATGACGTCACCATTGTCGAGCTGGGCAGCGAGCGCAGCGTCGTGACGCCCAACAGCAGCGCACTGCTATATAAGGAATCCCTGGAGCAGCTGCTGGCCCAGCAGCACCAACACCAACACCAGCAGCAGCAGCACCGACGTCGCACCGCTAACAGCAGCACGCCCAGCACTGGGGTAGTTGGAGCTGGAAGTGGAGCTGGCGTCATTGTGGACGCCACCGGGCTGCGCCAATACACGCAGCTGCTGCTGTCGGGGGCGGGCACGCCCGTCAGCTGCACGGACACCTCGAGCAGCTGCAAGGAGAAGAGCTCCTCGTCGTCTACCTCATCGACGCCGCCGCCGAGCGGCGCACTGCTCGCCCAGCACCAGCAGCTGAGCCAGATGCTGAAGAGTCCGTCGGACACGTGCTCATCGCTGTTCAGCGAGCCCATCGAGGAGGAGACGCGCTGCGTCGTCTGCAACGCGCACTTCCCGAACGTCTGGCTGCTGGAGCAGCATGCGGCACTGCAGCATCCGCACATTGGGCCGGGCGAGGAGAAGCCCTTCATATGCGAGCAGTGCGGGCAGTCGTATCGCTATCGCAGCGCCTATGCCAAGCACAAGGAGCAGAATCATCGCGCCCGCCTGCCCGCGGACAAACTGTTCACCTGCGACGTCTGCGGAATGCAGTTCCGCTATCTGAAGAGCTTCAAGAAGCATCGGCTCAACCATGCGCTCGAGCGTCTGCACGGCAAGAAGTCCATCGGTGTGGGTGTCGGTGTCGGTGTGGGCGTGGGCGTGGCACGCATGATTAGCGGCACAGCAGCAGCGGCAGCAGCCGCTGCCGCAGCAGCAGCCACATCGGCCCAGCTGGACCAGGATGTGGTCACCAGCTCGCAGGAGCCGATGCTGGCCGACGAGGGCGAGGATCTGCGCATCAATGTGAAGCGCGAGGGCGACGATTCCGGCCATCAGCAAGAGGCCACCAGCGAGGAGCACGAGCAGGACAACACTATCGATTCGGCGGGCATTACGATGCTCTACAATGACAACAACTCATCGGCTTCGGCCTCCACGAGCGCCACGGAGCCGAACATCAGCAGCTCGGACGGCATACATAGTACAAACAAGCGGGTAAGTGGTGCGATTACAGCAATTTACCCGGCTATGCGCGGCTGCAGTAGATCAAATCGATCGAATCAAGCATGAGCTTGATGACATCGGAAGTGTGGAGGACTCCCTTTGCCCCCGGGGCTTACCCCCAGCAGCTGCCTCTACCTCTGATGCCTCTATGAACGTTATAACATGCATCTATCATAAAATTTGCCATCTTTAACGAGACCCAGCCCAATATTGGCCTTGCTATATAGATCATTCCAATAAACTATTCTAGTCCTCTATATTCCGAGTTTATATCCATAATTTGAACTTGTTCTTGCCTTGCAGTCACGCCTGTTGAACAGCGCACACCACTTGGAAACGGATCCCTCCTATCATCATCAACAACACCATCATCACCATCAACAGCAACAGCAACAACAACAGCAACAACACCATCATCATCAACAGCAGCAGCAGTCGCAGTCGCAGTCGCAGTCGCAATCTCAGCAACTGCCTCCGCATCTGGCGCACGTCTCACTGCCAATGGCCAGCGCTGCGGCTGGCTCCTCCTCGGCAGCAGCAGCTGCGGCGGCCGCTGCAGCTGGCTGCAATTCCAGTCCAGGGGCTGGCGCAGCTGGCACTGCCAACAGCGGCGTGGGCGGCAGCGGCATTAGTTCGCTCAGTTCGCTGACTTCGCTGATCAATGCGGAGCGCATACCAAATGAGCAGTTCCTGGGCCTCAATCCGCAGGAGGCTTCAATACTCAACTTCTTGCGAGTCGATGCGGCCGAGCGACAGCGCGACAAGCGGTAAGTTCAACTGATTCCATGAGTGAACTAGTTGACCAAGAACTGACCATAGCAGTTTCCCCATCATATACAAAAGATGTTTGCACAAATGAACTAGTGTATTCACCTGGTTCAATAAGTCATATACTGGTTCCATGTGATTATTATCCATCAAACGAAACTGATTCATAGTTCTTGTGAACTAGTTCATAATGACAAAAGCTTTATACATTTAAAGCAATTTTTATACTTTAGCAAAATCTAAAAAAAATGTTGGAAAATATCACAAGAACTAGTTCAATTGAACTAAGTGCAGATTTAGAACTTTGCAGTTCACTTAACAATAAGAAAATAAGACCATGCCAAATGAACTAGTTCACGTGTACAAACGAACCAGTTTCGCTTTTTATTGACTTTACCAAATCAGATTTATTTTTAACGAACTTCCTTTGCAGGCCCACCACGTCGCGTTTCGCCTGCCCGTTCTGTGGCAAGTGCGTCCGCTCCAAGGAGAACCTGAAGCTGCACGTGCGCAAGCACACCGGCGAACGTCCGTTCGTCTGCCTGTTCTGCGGACGTGCGTTCGGCGGCAAATCGGATCTGACGCGCCATCTGCGCATCCACACCGGCGAGCGGCCGTACCACTGCGAGTCGTGTGGCAAGTGCTTCGCCCGGGCCGACTATCTGTCCAAGCATTTGACCACGCACATTCACAATGCGCCGCGCTGAGATGAGGCGCGTAGGAGGCGGCTCCTACGCAGATAAGCCAACGAACCATACACACACAAGCACAAGCACAAACACACTCACACTACACTAGACAACACAGAATACACTCAAAGAAAAGAGCGGAGAAAATGAATGAAAAACACACACAAGAGGCATAAATTACAGGAAACATGAAAATTGATGTATAGATCTATTATTACTACCATTATTATTAGATTTACAAGTGTCTAATTATTTTTTTTATATATATATATAAACATATATATATTATTAATATGCGAACTCGAACTCGAACTCGAATTCGAATTCAAATGAGAATTCGAAGAAACGGTGCTGAGGTACAGTCAGCGCACTGATAAGCCATAGAGCAATCAATGTGTGTGCAGGGTTAATTTTTTTTTTTTTTTTTTTTTTTATAAATAGAAGAAGATGAAGAACATTAAGAACTATTAGCACGGGTATTAATGTCTTTAAGATTTGAAACTAAAGCATAAATAATTGTAATTAGTAGAAGTGTTTAAATTCTTTTTTTTTTTCTATCTAATATGCAAAGTTTTCTATGGTTAAGTGAGGGTTTTTTTTAGTGGAATATATAAGGAGATCTAATTAGTTCTGGCAGCTGCAAGGCAACTACTAACTACAACAACAAACTGCAATATATGAAAATAGTCTGTGTTTTTGAGAGCAAAGAAAACAAAAAGAAAACATTCAAATCACCAAGTACCATAAATCTGCCGTTTACATAGAGCAACTCTAAAAGCTAAACTAAAAAACTAATTTTACATTTATTTAAAACTAAATAGCAAAATATATTGTACAAAATATAGAAAGAAACTAACTAATAGAGAGTTTAACTCGAGAGCTGAGACAGAAGAGAAATGAAACGAAAGGAGATGAGATCGAAATGAAAGGAAAAGAAACGAAACAGGTTGGCAGCACCAATGCAGAAGAAGAAGAAGAAGAAGAAGCAACAGCAGCAAGAGGCATGTCCCAGCAGCAGCAATTTTGTTGAAATTAACATTAAATCGAATGAGAAACTCAAAGAGAAATAGTAACAATAACAATAACCACAAAAACAATAAAAGGATTTTAGTTTTTTTTTTTTTTTTTTATATAGCAATTTATATATAATTTTTACCATAAGACAGACGGACTGACGGACGAACAGTGAATGGAAACGAAAATCAAAAAACCATAGAGGCAAGAGAGACAACTATATATATTGAATATATGTTTTTTAAACGTATGTGCTAGCTTAAAGCAAACAGACAGCAAACAAACAGACAAACAATACAAAGGAGAAACTTATTATAATTTATACAAATCAAAAATCAACTAAAAGTTAAACTGAGGCATAAGGATGAGTAGAGGACGGGAGGCGGGGGAGAGGGTGAAGTTTTGAGGGAACTGGAAAGTGGGTTCGAATCGGAGGCTTGAGGCAGGCTAGAGTTACAAATAATATTTACTTATGTGCAACCACCGTCAATAGTTTAATAATTTACAAAACAAGCATACAACAATTTTACAAATAAATAGAAAAGAGATGAGACACATAGAAATAGCGAATAACAAAGCAAATCAAATAAAACGTTTTTTCTTTTTTTACAAAATGAAAAACAACAACTACAACAACACAAACTAACTGTGATTCCAGCAACAACAAAATAACAAATAACTTACTTACAATTTACAAGAAAAGAAAGAGTATAAGAGAAACAATAGCAAAGCTACAAGTAAAACAAACTAAATACAAAAAAAAACAATTGCAAAAATAAATTACCCAAAACAATAGGCAAAATAGATTTAAGGCAGCTGCGCCAATCACGGCCAAGCACACAGCGAGAGCGAGCGAGAAAGAGAGAGTGAGCTAGAGCCTGTCTCTGCATATCGACATCACAGCAAGATAGAAAGAAAGAGAAAGAGAGAGTGAGTTCCAAGCTCTGCATATTGGCGTCTTGTAACAATGAGCTTTTGACGCTCAGCTGCGCCATATTATCCTAGTCAGCTTTTTGACGTCCAGTCTTCGCTCTATGTGCTGCGCCGCTAGCTGCGCAGCTGCTGTCCCAAGCAACGAGACGTGCAATTTGTTTACAATAAACAGAAGAATTAAACATAAAGACTACTAATTTTGTATATGCCTAGAAGCTGCTTCATTTATTATGGCTCATTTCATAAAAATAATGTTGCAAACAAAAGTTACCACCAAATAAACACACACACATACACAGACAAAGTGATCATAAAAAAATTAAAACAAAAACTAGATACAGAAATAAAAACACAAACACAAACAAAAACAAAAATCAAACTAACAAACTTTGAACCAAGAACATCGAATTAAATTGTAAATTGTAGTTTCAACATACAAGAGGCAAAACAGCTATGAAAACTAAATATACATAGTATATATACATACATAAATACATACATGATTGCATACATATATGTATATATATATATATATATATATGTGTATACATATATGAAATAATGTTTCCATATATAATATATATATACATTTTTTTTAATAAATGTCCTAAGCCTGAAGCGAATACTTAAATAAACAACCATATTTGCCGTACCAAAAAAAAATAAAAATAAATAAAAAAATAAATAAAAAAATAAATAATAATAATAATAATAAAGAAATAATTGTCAAGCTGGAAAAGTTGATGGAAGGATAAACTTTCACTGTGCCAAAAAGTTTAAAGTACCTCATAATTTAAATAAATATTAAAGAAAAGCAAATAAAAGTAAAAGCAGAAGCTAAATCGAAACAAATGAATATAAAAGAAATAATAATAATAATATCACTAACCAATGTTTTTACAGTAGATTCCATAGAACAGTCAAACCATAATACACACACACACACTTATATATAGATAAATATATATAGTAGTGCGACGGAACACTGATTTAAAAAACAACTTAGGGATAAACTCAATGTTTTTAAAACTATTTCAAACGATTATTAAGATAAATATATATTGTTAGTCGTTACGATGTTGATATTAAGTTTATCATTAAGTTTTTTTTCTCTAACATTTAGTGCTCAGTCGCACTAATATGATCTTTTCATGGTGTGTGTGTGTGTATGTAAACTAGAAGCTATAAGCTGCTGTTAACTAATTTAATCCAAGCTACTTATACTAATTTACCAGCCAGAGGCAATATTTTTAGCTAGCAAACTTACAAATCTGAGATTCTTTTGATTTCACAATTAAATATTTAAGTACAATTCTGTTGCTTTCTCACTCATATTAACACTCGCTCCCTCTCTCTCTCTCTCCAATAGTGTTCAATTGTAGCAAATTTTGTGATAGTTTAACAAAATTATATGCACAGTTTTATATACATATATGTATAGATTCTTTTCTCTTAACTTAACTTAAAATATTAAAAAATTTCAACAAAAAGTTTACATTTATTTCTAACAACACAAAAGACAAATCCCACATATTTGTTCTTTTATTTTATATGCAAATAAATCTAAATGTATACATATATGTATGTGTACACAAATCGATAAATATCGAACGATCAGGGCCACTAGCAAATTGTTTAGAGTTAATTATAATTTATACAATTTATATGAAAAACTAAATGATTTTTTTTTTTAATATATATATTTTGCATTGCTTACAAATTTATTCCGCTATATTTTTTTCTTAATTAATTTTTTTATGTATTTCAACAACAACAAACACTGCCTTTTTATTGCAAGCACAAAACACACACGAAAACGAATCAAATACAAAATCTATTTAGTGTATTTATAAAAATTACATTTTTTAAGCATCACAATTGCAAAAAAAGAAAAAAGAAAAATAATAATAAACCTTTTTTTTTAATATTTAAAAAATAAAAATATTTTCTAAACCACTTTTATGTTCATTTGATTATGTTCTTATTTGAATTTCTCTAAATACTTTTATTTCTTATTATTATTATAAATATCTATATAAACAATTATTTGAATTAACATGCTGTGAGCTATGTATGTGAAACTTTGATTTTTTGTGACAATTATTATTATATTTAATTATTTTTATTTCATAGTATTTATTATTAATAAAGTTTTTTGCATTACACAAAATCGATTGCATTTTTATTTCATTTTGTATTATTCTTTTCATATTGCACATAGGTATCTATATACTCCTGATCAGCCTAATCATGCCTGTCGATCCGTCCGCATGAGATTTAAAAGTTTTATATTTCTTAGACATTAAATGCAGTCTGTTTGTTATCGATAAATATCGGCGTATCAAGTTTAGAGTTTAAAGTTTTACATTAAAGGCATTTTCTGCGAGAGAGTTAGAGTGCATTGCTTTATCTATTGGGCACATTGATCTGAGTTGATTCATCACCATTAAGCTTGAGTTATTTATATCTTCCAAATTCTATGGCATACTTGTCGAAGAACCGGCGAGATCGGTTGCTCTCTGCTAGGATGGATCAAGAACAAAAGCCGAAAATCTGATCAAGTCGGACACTTTCGATACATTTTTTTAAATTCATTATTTGTTTTCCATGCAAACCAAAGCCTAACATTTCATTTATTTATGATCGTCGTAAATCAGGTTCCCCGGATATTAATTGAAATGTTCAAAATAAAAGAAGTAAATTTACAAAATAAAGAAATACAACTTAAATAAAATAAAATATTTGCTAAGGGCATAGGAAGGTAAACTTGAACTTAGGTAAGCAATAAAGCAATATTAAAAGAAAAAATTAATTAAATACAAATTAAGTAAATTTTTCCCATATTAAAAAATTACAAATAAAATTAAATTTGGTGTGTGCTTAGCTAATGGAATTCAATTAACACATAAATGTTGAAAGCGAAAATAAACACAAAAAATAATGGATAACAAAATTATAAAAAATTGATTTTGAGAAAACAAAAACGGAAACCTTTTTAGGCCCACAACGGGAAAGCAGAAAAAAAAAGAAAAAAAAAATTCATTTGTAAGTCATGAAAAACAAAACAAAAAATATTGGAGGGATTCAAGACTCTTATTTCATATATACATATACATACATACACCAATATATGTATATATACATAAATTACAAATTTACCATATATATATTTACATAATATATGTATGTATAACTTACGAGAATTTTTTTTAAGTGTAACGCTAAATAAGGCATAGACAAAATGCAGGAAATACGTGTAACAAAATAATATTATATAAAACAAATGAAACTAAAAATATTACAAAATCCAACAACGAAACTTTTTGGCATTGAATCGATGCATTTTTAAAAACAATATTTATTTATATATAAATATATATATACATAAATATATATATATAGTTTAAAAAATCCACACACACATACACACACGCACATAAACAGACGCAATTCATATAAATCTAAAGAAAAAAAATAAAACAAAGACAAAATAAAAAAAATATTATACATAGTATATATGTATCTCTATACAGATAAATGAATGTATGTGGTTTTCGGTGTCTATTACATATATACATAGATATATATACAAATAAATGCATATATACACATATACATATGTACGTATATATTGCATGCATATTTTGAAATAAATTATAAATGTTGTTTATTTGAGTAACTAACGAAAATGAGCCCCAAATCAATACGAAAACTAAGAGAAAATCAATCCGAATATGATATTTCATATTATACCACACACACACACACACAGACACACACACACACACACGCACATACACACTCATACAGTAAGGCCCTAGAGCAAGTGCATGTTGAACTAAAAAGAGACAGATAGATATAGAGACAGTTTTGGATCAGGTTTCGCATATGTTGATATTCCAATAAGCAACTCATATCTTGGATCCAATTGCACTTGACATTAGCTGGGCGCCTGCCTGAAGACAGAGTTCAAAACAAAATAAAAAAGAACCCTTTTCATCAAAATAACAAAAAAATAAATAAATAAATAAAAGACAATTTCGAGGTTTCACTTAAATAACAAAAAGATGAACGGAAATACTCAAAGCAAGAAGTTTTAATGTAACAAAATAAATTTAACAAAATTATTAGAAAACAATTTAAACACACAATGTTTTTAACTAAAAATACTTAAACTTTTGTTTCTATTAATATATTTTATTAATTTGTTTCTAAGCTTTTTTTTTCATCATATATATATATATATATATATATATATATATATATTGAATGGTCTATAATCAAATGCATTGTTAACAGAAAAACTAACTCATGTATATAAAAGAAACCATCTGAAAGACAAAACACACAAATTATATGAAAAGATATATATATATATATATATATATATATATATATATATATATATATATATATATATATACATAAAAAAATATATGTATGAATATAACTTTAAAAAATAACATAAAAATCAAAAACAAAATGTAGTACATGCAATATATTTTTCGGTGTTAGGCGTCTTTTTGAGATTTTTACAGAAAAAAAAGAAAAAAAAACTAAAATCACATATAAGATAACAAGATTACAAAATATTTCATTGTTGATGTTGTGAGCTAAAAAAAAAAAAAAAAAAAAAAAAAAAAAAAAAAGAAACTACAAAAAATAATAACAAAAGAATTGTATTTTGTCTCTCTTTCGCTCTCTCTCTCTCTAAAACTCTCTCTAAACATTAACTGTCGTGTCCACTAAAATATTACATAAATATATATACACATTCACATACATATGTGTAACCGTATGTAGTAAAAAAAAAAAGAAAAACCAAAACAAA